GTGCGTGTGTCTCTACGTGGCGCTGCCCGTTAGGCACCCGTTGTTTCCTCTGTTAGCACTGGTCTTTGAGAAGTGCGAGCTGGCGACCTGCACTCCCCGGGAACCCGGAGTGGCCGGCGGAGACGTCTGTTCCTCCGACTCCTTCAACGAGGACATCGCTGTCTTCGCCAAGCAGGTCCAACCTTCTTGACCCGCTCACCCCCACCCCCCCAGCAGCCCTTCACCCTCCCTCCCCTTTCCTCCGAGCTTGACTTGAAAGAGGAGGAAAAGGCAGGACACCCGATCTGTTCCTCTGGCCCAGTCGGCGCTCCGCGCCTCCTCCCCATCCCTTAGCCTGGAGGCGAATTGGAAACGGAGATAAATATGGGTGTTTGTTTTTCCCCCCAGCCAGGAATACAGGGGCTCGACCCTCGAATTAAAGTTGACCTGCTCCTAATCTGGGGCTTGGCCTTTTCCCCGCCTGCAGCTACTTGAACAAGAATTGGGGAGAGGGGCTGGGTGGAACCTGGGAGTGCCCCGGAGCAAAGGAAGCAAGGAGCCTGGAGAGAAGCCTACTCAGGCTAGGGAGGTGGGGAGACCCACCTCCAGGTTTGGCTGCAGAAGCGGATTCTGAGAATCCGCAAGCCGCCTTGCCTTCCCTGTTACAACTGGAGTGGGGCACGACTCTCCCCACCGAGTCAGGCCCTGATGTTACTCCACCGATCCCACTCACTTAAGACATCAATCTGTTTCTTGGATTTTATCAAAGCCCCTGTCCTCTCCTCTGCCCCTGCTCTTCCAGAGTACCCGCTCCCTCCATTCAGAACAGTCGCCCGACAGGGTTTTCTCTTTTTAATTGGGCTGAAGATTCATGCTGACTTTCCCTGCTTCCTATAGGTTCGCGCTGAAAAGCCTCTTTTTTCCTCAAACCCAGAGCTGGATAATTTGGTAAGACTCTCTGTTTCTTGCTTGTCCCCAGCCTCGGACACATCCCTAGCCCAGAGTTGCACTCATTTGCCCCTGGAGCTCCAGGGAGTTGCAGTAGAGCCCTCTTAGCGAAGCACAAGGGAAGGGACCCATTTAGAGCTCCTTCGGGTTAGCAGGGGCGAGCCAGGGGCAGTATGAACCTCAGGGGATGAGAAGCCCACCGAGGCAGCAGCGGGCGCCGCGGCGCCGAGCGGGCGAGTGGGGATGCTTCCCAGGTCTCGGCCTCGGGAGTAAGCGGAGAGAAGGGAGCGATTTCCTCTGTGTGCCGGGGAAGTCGGCCGAGCCCCAGGCTGCTGCCCCGAAGGAAGTAACTGCTAGGGCGGCTGAGGGCGGGCTAAGAATGGGTTGGGGGTGTGGGGCTATCCCGCGCAGGCCACTTTTAGGTGCGATTCTTTTGCTAATTTGCAGGATTTCAATATTAAAAGTACTTAAATCCTCTTTCAAAGGCCCTGCCTCCCCATTCATCTAGAGTATTTCCTTCTTCTGAGAGGAGGGTTGCTCCGGGTTTGCTGTTTTAAAAAGCCTTTCTATCCAAAGAAATGGCTCCCCCCTTCTCTCTTCTCTTCTCTTCTCTCTTCTCTTCTCTTCTCTTCTCTTCTCTTCTCTTCTTCTCTTCTCTTCTCCTTTCTCCTCTCTTATTTTCTTGTTTTATTCTATTATCTCTTCCCCTCCCCCCCCCCTCCTCCAATTTGACCTGAGGTGGAGGGTAGGAGGAGCAGTAAAAAGAAGAATAAGACCTGGTGGGAGAAAACCAGCCCTTACCAACAGCACACTGTGAGAGCTAGGGGAAAAATTACTACTAAGGCCACCCCTTATACTGGCTCCCACCCCTGTGGCCAATGAGGCAGAGATGATCAGTAATCATTTGGTTTTCCTATTTCTTGATGTGTGGGTTTTGCCCGGCCACCTGCTGGTTTCTTCTTCCTCTGTCCAATTCCCTCAACACACCCCTCTTACACACACACACACACACACATACACACACACACACACACACACCCCACAGATTTGCAAGTCCCAGAACCCTAACTCCATCCTCTTAAATTTCCCTTTCAGATGATACAAGCAATACAAGTACTAAGGTTTCATCTTCTGGAGTTAGAGAAGGTAAGCAGGAAGCAACAGTCCCCATTTGGATGACACCCCCCCCCCCCATTCTTTCAACCAGATGACCGGGGATGTTACAAACCTCCGGGATGAAGGATTACTCATCTGGAGATGTTGATCACGGCCCTATTTCCCTCCTTTATAGACTTCTCAAGCCAGGGGCTCAGAGGATATGGGAATCAGGCAGCCCTGCCTTTTCAAGCCCCCCCCCCCCCCCCCCAGGCCTTCAGTATTATTTGAAGTACAGCAGAGCCATTTGTGTTGCTGCATACAATGTCTACTTGTGTCTCTATTAGCTCAGCTTACCCTAGGCCCAGAGTTCCCACTGGGTGCAATCAGAGGGAACAGTCCTTTTTGGGGTGTCTTTGCATTGATACATAGATCAACCATTTCCCCAGGAAACTTACACAGCACCTTGCTTACAAAATCACAGATGTCCCCAGTTCTAGTGTTTAAATGTTTCTGAGTTATTATCAAATCATATTTTCTTCTATGCTCTCCCAATCTGAACCCAGTTACTTCCAGTCCAGTTTCGGTCTTTATTGTAACTTGTTGCTCAGGGAGGGGAGTCTCTGAAGAATAATATCGATTGCCACAATTGCTCTATTGTTTCTTTGCCTTCAGCTCTTACACCCCTTAATTAGAGTTAGTTTGGAAGACATTACATTTGTTGCTCTCTACAAATGTAACCCTGCAACCTGGTATTCTTCCCCTTTAAAAATGAAACCTATAAAGACAACATGAGCTGAGCCTCCGCCATGACCCTCCTCCTAGGTCCACGAACTGTGTGATAACTTCTGCCACCGGTACATTAGCTGTTTGAAGGGGAAAATGCCCATTGACCTCGTGATTGACGAGAGAGATGGAAGCTCCAAGTCAGATCATGAAGAGCTTTCAGGCTCCTCCACAAATCTCGCCGACCACGTAAGTGTGCAGAGCCGGTGGAGTTCTCTGAAGGCCACTGGGCAAAGCATTTTTCTCAAACCTTGTGCTATTGAGTTCACTTGTTCTGTGTTTTAATGGTTTGGTCGCTTTTGGAGTTGGCTCTCCCTGTCTCACGACCAGTGTCATGGCCCTTATTTTCATTTCCTCTTTCTTGAACCCTGTCCTTATTTATGTTGAGAGTCAAAGAACTAAGGAGTTGATAGAATGATTTGTGCTCTTAGTGTGTAAAGTTTCCTGGACCTGGTGACTTGGGTGTTAGCAAAAATCTCTTTTTGATATGATGGTCTCTGTCTTTTCTGTTTTCTTTCTGTGTGTCATCAAGGGATCAGAGGTAGCAAGAGACAAGACAGTTAGCTGGAAGGAGAGCTGTGCGTGCCTGGCCAGGGGAGGGGGGGGAGTGGGGAGTGGGAGCCAGAAGAGAACTGGGAAATGGGGGCCTATTGCTCTCCCAGAGAAGACAATCCTGAGAATTCCTGGCAATTTTGCACCACATTAACAATAAAAGGAGTGAATGAACACATTACAATTCTCAGGACTTTTTTTTCTCATAGAAACTTATTGTCAGAATATGGACTTATTGCCAAGTGCCTGAAGCATCTCTATAATAAAAGACAGCAACCTTGATGAACCAATTTTTAACACTGTATTGCAGAAAGCTGAAGGGAATTAAGACTGAGTAGCCATAGGTTAGTGGTTGCACTTCAACACTCTAACAGCTGATGACTGAGGATGAAGAGTGTAGAAGATGCCCGCAGATGTCAAGCCAGGAAAGGAGATTTCTATTCTCTCTGTTTGTAATCCTATTTTCGAACTGATGGAGGGAATATGATGGGGGAAGAAAAAGCATATGTAGTGATACTCAAAGCCTGAAGAAGAAGCAGGAGAGGGATTGCTGGCAGGGTTGGTAGGGAAGGCAAGAGGTGAGGTTAAAGAGTAGGTGTGAACAGCAGTGTATTTGGGGGAACTCAAGCCAGGAGGTGGGGAGCAGTGTCTGTACAGTCATCTGAACTCACAACCTAGATGATAGAGGCCACAGTCTGGATAACTTCATGGGTAAAATATTCATTTAACACCCCGTAGGAGCTAAACAGGCATTGAGGTTTGAAGGCAGTTTGCACTCCCCACCCTCAAATTCCTGAGTATGAAGAGGAATGAATTGAGCTACCTGAGGAATAATAGCTTTTCTGTGAGTTCTCGTCTCCCTCTATCAAAAGTTTTGAAAAGAAGCAGCCATTGATTTTAAAGATTAACCTTTGCACTACGTGAGACAGCAGCCTAAAAGTTGAAAATAATGAAAGGAAACCATAGCATAGGATGTCCAGTTCGGATAGAGAATAAATACTGTGCTGCAAAAAAAGCTCCTGCACTTGTCTTTATCTTTATCTGTTTCAGGGTGATGGGGAAAGTGGTCTGGGGTTTGTACCTTGCATGCGTTAAGTGAACTCAAAAAGGTGAAGCAGCTGTTAGAAGTTTCTCTGCTTCTCTGTGTCTACACTGTGTGTTCTTGTGGTCCAAGAGGAGTGCTTGCTTCATAAATATTTATTTATTTTTGTTCTTTACTTATTTTCATCACTTTCTGTTTCTGAGTTCATATGCATTTGTATTATGGGGGTGGGAACAGAGGGGGATGTATCTATGCGGCTTGGAGCATGAGAGGTCCCTAGTTCCTTCTGCATCAAAAGCTTTTTTGCTCGTGTTATTTTGTGGGGTTGTGACTAGTTGGTTTTCTACAACAGTTTCTTGACAATGGGTTTTCTGGTGGCTGTATGGAGTTAGGGGGTGCTGATGTTTACGTAGAAGCAATAAGAGAAACTAGGCGTTGTAGATAGTATTGGCTGATATACAACGCCAATTTGTGAAGCTAGCGTGATATTTAAATACAGACTCAAGAAGGAGGTGGTGCCTATGAGAACAGTGCTTGAATAATTTAACAATCATCATCTTCGGATAAAAGAGTCAACTGTAGCATTTGTTGCTACCCTTTCAAGCCCCCAATCAAGTAAATATGACAACTGATTTATTTTGAATCCGTGAGGGCTTGCCACCTCATTGGGCGTCATAATTTAAAGCCTTTTATTTCCTAGAGATCTGAACTACAGCATTTTTTCCTTAGCCCCCTGCTATTTGTTTTGAAATGAAGCCATAATTTGTTCCACCAGCATACTGAGTGGGGAATGGAGAGGTCTGCCCCATGCTTGTGCTTCATGCGGGACAAGAGAGAAATCCTTGAAGGCTCTGCAGCATTTTAGGTACCAGAGGCATATCCACTGCATTTGTGCCTAGGCCACCCCCTCCTACCCGACAAAGGGCCTCCTTCTAAAGGTTTCTCACCCGGTCCTACAAACTTGTCATCCCTCAACCCCTCAGTCACAAGAGAGGGAAAAGACCACAGAATCCCTACCTGAAAGTGATGTAAGGGGACATTTTCAGCATATAAATGTGTCCAATTTGAGTCATCAGGTTTATTTTTTTTTCATTTGCTTTGATATGCATATTTAATGCCTTGCCCCAGGCTGGATCTCATTTGCTGCACGCTGGTGCAGGGTGATGATCAGCCACTTCAGAAGGACCCAGACAGCGTGGTGTTTTCTCTGTTTTCTCTGTTGGCCCACTATTCTGATCTACTGAGCTACTTCGAGGTTTTATTTGCACATGAAATGCCGTGAGCAGTTCAACTTATTGGCTATGAATAATGACAGCTAAAAAAGAAGTGTAGTTTCATTTATTGTGTGCCAAGGTTTCTCTTGTGGAGGTGACAGTTTGTGACAGCTGTTTGACACCCCAAAAACACATACACCTCTATCCTTATTAAGTGGTATCAAGCTACACTGTGCGTGCATGCGTGTGTGTGTGTGTGTGTGTGTGTGTGTGTGTGTGTGTGTGTGTGTGTGTGTGTGTGTGTAGAGGGAGCAGGCAAGGAGAAAGAGTGAAAGAAAAAATGAAAGACTAACTTTGTAGTTCTGTGCACTGAAAAGCATGAAAGAACTATCAAGGGCAGGATATTAAGCGCCAATATAGTTTTCCATTTTATTAACATACTTGAAAACATAAATGAATGAAGGTTGTTGACTGAATAAATATCTTCAAAGCTAATATTCTCGGCAGACATTTAGGAATGATTTTTATGTACTATTACCGGGTATTCTGCTAATTTTGTATTCTATAATGTCACACAAGTATTCTGATACGACATAGATGCATTACAAGGAGACCCATAGTGGTCTTGCGTTCCATTCTTTACATCCAGTGAGGATACTGGATTTCTTCATTTATTATTAACAAACACTATGTGCATGATGATAAGGGGAAGTTTGGAACCAAAGAGAAAATAAAATGTGCAACTTTGGTTGTTGTACTGTGTTAAGTCAATTCATGAGGGATGCTAATTTTTTAATATTAGGATGTGTTTTTATCTCCTACTCGTACTATAGCATAAGGATAATTGTTGTAGGTAGCACATGGCTATGATAGTATTCTTCAGAATACTGTTGAGGGAAAAATAGATGATAATCAAAGGCAACTCCACTGTGTTTTCCAGCTGCAGCTCATGCTAAGCTTCCCAGACATTCAAATTTATCATGTTTAAAACAAACATGTCAAGAAAGCATTTATTTTAAGTTTCAACTTGGAAACTGTTGTAAAATAATTATGTTTTTCCTAGACTGTTAGAAGTACTAAAAAATTGGTAATATCCAAATTTTCTATTTTATATAATGTGAGATCAACTTTTTAGATATAGTACAGACAAGTATGTATCATCATAATATTTATGTATAAAGATATCATACATCTTTGTATCAGGTTTACATGACCAAAACATACTTGTTTGAAATATACTCTCCTAGTTACACTTGTCTGTAGTGCATATGGATATATAGTTATACCACTCCTGTTTACAATGCCAAACAGCTCTATTTTATTTTCTTTGAAAGAATTAAGTAAAGAAAATATAGTTATGTGAATTAATATGAATTGGCAGGTACCTTAAAATTGGCTGGCTCTGATAACATCATAAGTAAATGACGTTTTATTTTCATTTCTGGGCTGAAGTTTAAATGAACATATGCTGCTATTGTTTTTGCATTTCTGAATATGTCAAGTATATTTATGTCGATACAGTTTGTTGTTGTTGTTGTTGTTGTTGTTGTTTTAATGGGTTAGGTCAGAGGAGAGAATCACCAGGATCTTGCTCTTGACAGAAAATGGTCAAGTGCTGGTAGATAAATTCCATTATTACTTGAAAAATCAGAAGTGAGGAAAGAGTGAGGAGAGGTTTGGGTTTGAGTGCCTGGCCTATGGGAGATGAAGGAAGGATGATGATATTAGCATTAGTAACGGGTGATTTCTTTTGTCTGTTAGTTTCTCACACTGAAGTGTGATATCAGGTGTTAGGCTATGCTTTACTCAAAGTCTCTGGGACCCAATGTTGGAAAGTTTTACTTTGGAACTCAGTGTCCCTTCTTAAGGACTCTAATGGAGGACATGGCTTTCTATTATTTGTTGCTGCTCAAGTTTCTGCTTGTTGGAAGTGTTCCTGTTTATTTCTCATCAAGAATATCTACATCATTTGAGTTATTTAGGTTATGCAGTTGGCGTATGTCTTCAGTGTCACTGTGGAACCGAAGTACACTCGGCAATCACATAGACACTCACAATGCTACGAGAAAACTTGGTGTTATTTGACATCATTGTCTTGGCTGTTTACATATGGAGTGGTCTATGGGATATCCCAGCACATTTCAAAATTATAGAAAGCATTTTATAACACTCCTTGCAGTAACAAATGTGTTTCTGTCTTCTTCGAGAGTCCACCACTCAATGGAGCAATCATTTGCAAAGGATGTTGCCCTTGCATGAGATGTGCCTCTGTGTTCATTCCCAAAGACTGATATAGTGGTACAAATGGTGAGGCAAAATCTCCAGCTTTCCTTACATTTTTAAAGAATCTGGCTTCTAGCCGGGCCATGGTGCTGCACACCTTTAATCCCAGCACTTGGGACGCAGAGGCAGGCGGATCTCTGTGAGTTCCAGAGGCCAGCCTGGTCTACAGAGCAAGTTCCAGGATAGGCTCCAAAGCTACACAGAGAAACCCTGTCTCGAAAAAACAAAAACAAACAGACAAACAAAAAAGGACTCTGGCTTCTAAAAGCACACACTGTTGTCCTGAGTTCTTGGTCAACGTCATAATCAAAAAGTTGAAATTCCAACATTTATCCCAGCCATACCATGAACATTTTTAACTTGTGGACTTGAATGGCCTGGGATAAGAGTGCTCACATCTTTTTAAAAACAATTCTGTCTACACTGTTAACTAGAACTGAAAAGGCCTTAAAGCCACAGGACAGAAGTAACTTCATATTAACTGAAAATATTGACACAAATACATACATATATATATATATATATATATATATATATATATATATATATATATCTACCTTTTGTTGTTTAAATGTGTCAAGTCAGATAAGTCTGTGTGCCTCCTCAGCTAATGAACATGTCTTTGAATGTGTTTTCTGTTACTGTGTAGCTATGAATGTATATCTTAAGTTACTTTACTGTGCTTTCAAGCTCCCTATGTACTTCTTGGCTTTATGTTATTTAGTTATACGGGTTCTAGAAAAAAAATTTGTTGGTTATTTTTAAAATACTTTTCAAGATAGCCGTAAGTAGACATGACCTTGGGAATTATCGTGTGTGACTTCAGAATTTTAAAGAGATAAAGGACATCAGTCCAAAAGAACAGTCAGGGAAGCCTTCACTCCCAGTCACATGACCTGTTAGAGGTGGCCCCAAGAGTTGATTCTCTCCTTCTGTCTTCTCCTCTGTCTCACTTGCAGGGAATAACTTTTCATATGGAGTCTTAAAAAAAAGAATGAGCTCAGATTATTTTTGTCAAATCTTAAATACAATAGCGGCTCCTGTTTCCTCCTTCAAGCCTAAGACGTTTTACTTTTACGGTTTTATTTAGAAACTCGTGCACATTTTACCCCAGTGATCCGAGGAATGAACTGTGCACTATGGGGAATGCTTGGATATGAGAAACACTACCAATTGGCCAGGACTTATTAAGCATTATCCTATAGGCAGGATCCTCATGGAAGTGCCGTTCTGGTTTGAAGGGTAATTGCAGCCTATCCTCAGCCTCAACAAAAGCAGTGCTAGAGGATTTGCTTCTTGTGCCCAGAGACTCCTGTCCTCTCTGTTCTCTTTTCTAGATTTAGCAAAATTCAATGATGGTGCTAAATCAATTTTTTTTTTAACTTTCAAGGGAGAAAACACTGGCAGAATTGTGTTTTCTAGGGGAAGCCCTGTGCAAATGAGAAGCCAAGGAGAGCAGCCGAGCGCTCTCCTGTGGCCCCGAGACTACAAGCTCTGCCCATATTGTCTCTTGCTTTTATATTAATTACAACTTGCATTATCAGCTGCGAGTCTGCAGCCCAGCAAATAGAACAAACTGCCCCTGGAGACAGAGCTTCTTGTATCTATTTCCATCTCCTATTGTGCACTATTCGGTATTCACTGCTTTTCTCCTGGAAACACTGCTCTTTAACGCAATTATATAGAGAACAAGGGGAGTACCATCTTTGACTCCCAATTACTCAAGCCGTTGGGAATAGAAACATGTCCCCTCCTTGCCCTGGGGTGTCTTCATGGTACTTTTGGCTGGAGAACAGGACATGTATTATGGAATGTGTATACTCGAGTTCTCATCTACACTGGTGCATGGAGAAATCAATTCTCTCCTATTTTTCTACATACGTCATGTGTTTTTACATGCTTTTGTATATCACGCTGGTTCAGGACTCACTCAGCTTCTGCTTATAATTTGGCAGAGGGCCAGGTGGTTATTCTTGAAGGATGCAAACTTGGAAGCTATGGGGTGGGGGGTGGGGGGAGGAAACTGATATGTGCAAATATTTCAATCTAAGAAAAACGCGGTATTATGGGTAATGCTTTATGTTGTCTATGTAGGTTGTGTGTTTTTGTTTTTTTTTTAAATTATGACCACGGAGAAGTTTTTATTTATATTGCTCATATTGCCCATGTTTGTCTTTATATATTATCACATCACTATATGTAGCTTTATATAGACATCTTGGGGTGAGTCTCTACCCCAGAATGCCCAGAAGGATCTGTTTGCCCATCCTTCTTCAGATTAGATGACTAGCATGCTTCAGTCCCTCCACTGAACATAGCACAAGAGACACCAAGGAAATGTGACACTTTCTCAAGAGGGTATGCTTTTGAGAGGTGGGGAGGAGAAGAGGGAAGAGATAGGGGAACGGTAGATAAGAGAACTCGAGAAAATTTGGTGACCTCATTGAAAGTCAATGACCTACCTTGGTTGGGGGAACCTATTGTCCCAGTAACGTTGACAAATGTGGCTTTAGAAGATACCTTCTCCAGAAAACCACTGAAAGAAAGATACTAAATTGTGGATTAATGAGGCTTGACTTTAAAGTCCAGCCCAGGCCTGGCTGAGAAGAACACAGTCGTAGTGGTTTTCAGCTCCAGGAATTGCTTGTGCAAGAACCCCTCCCATCATGCCAGTGCTTAAACAGAAAGACCTGTCCCAGCTCCATCCGAACGATTATATAATAGTGTTGGATGACATTTGCCTTCAAACATAGTTGAGGTGTTAGTGGTTAATTATTGTAATTTTCATGAGGGGTAAGGAGCTTTTATAGCAGCCAGCTTAATAAAAAGCCTGCAGTGCATAAAATTAACATCACCGGCTGTGTACACTGGAAAGTTTAGTTAGGGGAAAGTGTCCTGCAGACCACGCTGTTGCAGAATAAGCACACGCCACGCTTCTCTCTCTTCCACCCACTTCTGTAATCCTTCTAGCTTTTTATTTGATCACCAGCCAGTAAATATCTGACATGAAGAGACTGCAAAGCAACAGACAACTTGGTCTAATATAGTCTACTTACTTTCACTTCCTAATCAATCTTTTCTTCCTTCCTTCCTTCCTTCCTTCCTTCCTTCCTTCCTTCCTTCCTTCCTTCCTTCCTTCCTTCTTTCCTTCCTTCTTTTCTCCCTCCCTCCCTCCCTCTCTCCCTCCTTCTCTCCCTGATGTCTTCCCTCCCTTTCTTTCCTTCCCTCTTTTTTGATACAGGATCTCACTGTGTAGTCGAGATTGGACTCAAACTCATGGCAATCCTCCTGCCTGAGCCCCCCGAGTGTTGAGATTATAGGCATGTACTACCATGCCCAGCTAATTCCTTAATCCTCTTTTTCCATCACATCTTTATTGTAGAGATTTGAACCTGAACTATATTTACAGTCATGATTTCTACTCAAGGTCTTGACTTTGGGTCGATGGCTTGCCTGGTGATATCGCCAGCAGCACTATTTGACATTGACACTCTTGATCACAGAGATCTGGATCATGTTATCAGCTGCCAAAATTCAAAATATTAATTTACAATCTGTTTACAGAAGATCTATAAGGGAGGGATGTCGTAGGTGTTGTTCCAAGGAAGAGTATTTCCTTCATTTATCTTATTTTGGTTTCTGGTTTTATTTTAGTAGCATTATCTACCATAGGTAAATTACAGACTTAGTCTTGAGGAAAATGACAGACTGACTTTTTTTTCCTAATAAATTCTGTGTCCTGATATCACAGCAAGATTCCTTTCACATAGCCAAGTGGTTTGTAGGTGGCCTATGCTTGCTCTGAATTATTGTTTACCAATTCCAGTAAAAAGTGCCGCTGCCCTCTGAGGGATTGCTGTATCTTTAAAATTTTGTCCTGCACAGTCTACTCCAACCCCTAAAGAATACACTTGCCTGTAGGTCCACAGGTTTAGTCAAAGTCATAGCACATAGGTGACAAGTGTACAGCTTTGGCCCCAAGGCTCCTGTGTTTCATGTGTGGTTCCTGCTCTCCCTGTCTGCCAGAGGAAATTCCATCTCTTGCCTGCCTTCATGTGGTGCTGATAAAGTCCTTCCTGTACATTAGAATTCCTGTTTCCCTTTAAGCTACAGAGGTGGTATTGGGAATGATCAGGAAAGAGGAGGGGAAACAGGAGACGAATATATTAGCAGAGCAGCTGAATCTGGTGCCTCCTGGTTTGCCTTGCAATCCTTTGGATTCTTCCAGAATCCCCTGTTCAGTAGCTTAAAGCGAAAGTCTCAACTTGCTTGCAAAGTGGCAAGCAGCCCATGTTGGTTTCATTTTAAAAACTATCGTTTGTGCAAATTAGAGCAGGGTTTGGTGGTTTATGAGATAGTGATGCCACGATTACTATTGCTTCTGTTGTTTACGCAATCTACCTGTTGATAACATTCAGAGAGCTCAGACAGACCATTTTAGGGCAATGCATTTGAAAGGTGTAAGGGGATGTCCCACCACACATTGTTGGTCCTGTGCTCTTCAGAAGTGAGTATTGGATTTTGTAGAGGCTCATGTTCTGATGGATTTTGTGTCTGAGAACACCAGGAAAACGTGTCCTGGTTATAATTAAAAAAAAAAAAAAACAAAAACAAAAAAACAAACAAACAAGAAAGACATTTTTAAGGCAGTTTTCCCTTACTTCTGAAGTTAACTTTATTGTGGCATAAATCTGCATATAATAGGATGTACACACTTAGAAGAGCTAAGTTTTTTCAGTTTTAACAAATGTATATACTGATGCAACAGAAAAAGATGGCATAGAATAGCATGCCTGTGGTCACTTCTGAAAATACTAATATGTGCACATTTTTTTCTCCCTCTGTGCCTGTCTGTCTTCATGGTTCCTCATTTATGGCTCAAATGGTAACTGTGGGAAAATTCCTTGGCATCCTGACATCAGAACCCTTCATCCTGGCGAGACCATGATGATGCAACCTCAACTCACTCAGCAGGCACCCCGGGACCCTCCAGTGGGGGCCATGCTTCCCAGAGTGGAGACAACAGCAGTGAGCAAGGTAAAAAGTTAAGAATTTTCCTTGTGCAAAAGTAGGCATGACCAAAATAGCTTCCACATCCCACAACATCAGTCCATGTAAACAGGAGAGGGGCCGGTAAGGATGTCGGGAGTTTACCAACTGCTTGGTAGGGAGATGGGGTTCCTCTCATTACTTTATTTAAAGACTCAGAATGAGCTATCTAATCTTTAAGTCCACATTACAATAATAATTGATTGGTTCTGCCAATTCTCTTACAAATGTGGTTATCTACACTACTTTGGTGAATATCAGAAAGACAGACCCTCCTAACTGCTATAATCCAGTAGTGGGAATTATACTACAAACAGGATATTTGCTTGTAATATGTACTATAGAAGTTCTTTATAATTAAAGCAGCCATGCCTCTAAAGCATGTAAGATGCAAAAATTTGTTCTTATTAACTCCAGAAATACCAGTCAAGGTGGGGGTGGGGCGGAGAGATTTATACAGACTCTTGTTTTGGGAAGATGGATTTGGAAATTCTTCAAATATTGCTTGTCCCTGCTTCTATGCAGCTGACATAGTGACTTTTGTCCCAATTTGAAAAAAGATAGAAGTTCAGAAGGTGAGGAGAAGTTCAGATGTCAAGGAAGCCTTCTGCACTTTGGAATGAACTTTACCATTTACAACAGAGAGCAGTCATATATTGGTAGGGATGACGCTTCTGTGGATAAAATGATCATTTAAAGGAAGATGCTTTATTGAATGTGGTCCAGGAATGTATATAGATTTTACTTTTTAATATTTTACATTAGATGGTGTCTGATCTCTTAGGTCTGTTTCATCTCTATTATGATTCTGTTTATGGCCACAATATTTAAGCATTAGACAGGCTTCCAAGTCAAATACGGTTTTACAGCTTGAGCTGTAATTATACAGGCCATTTTAAAGGGAGTCATTGGTGTCCTGTGAGTATCTACCCTCCTCCATGTTTCTGGCCAGGGATTTTGGACTCCTGAATTTCCAAGTGAGCCTAGAAAACTGGCCTTTGTAGGATATCTTTTACTTGTAAGGGAATCCTGTTTAGAATCTGTCTTTTTAAACAAGGTGTGACTCACAGATGATGCACTATCAAATGGCAAGCTATAGAAGAACTTGTGAGCTATATGTACATTGGTTTGAGGGCATCAGTTGAACTGTTTGTAAAATAAGCTTCATTATAAGATATTTTGAAGGTATCATGTATGTAGATTCAATAGTGGATCTGCAATACAGAGTCTGAGCTGTGGTTCCAAGTGACCCTGGGTCAAATGCAGAAAGCTTTCAATCCTTCAGTCCTCCTCACTGCCCCAAGTTAGGGCAACACAAAGGGTGAAATATCTATTAATAAAAACAAAACACCCTCAGCGTTGCAGGGATGGGGGGTGGGGGTGGGGAGTAGCAGACTTAATGGCCTAATGAGGCTATCTTCCAGAAACTTCTCCTGTGTGAGGCTCCCTCTGACCTTTCACTTGGCTCAGGAGCCCAGCGCTTCATTTTTCACATTCTTGCAATTACGTTAACGCTTCAAGCATTTCTGCCTCCATGTCAGCTAGCGACACCAGGCATAACTCAACACTGTGAGTTTTTCTCTTCTCTGTAGATTCATTAACAGGTCACCAAGGTCCCAACTGAAATTTAAAACTGACTGGTTCTGTTGGGTTAGTTGAGTTATGGCGAGAGGGATAACAAGAAGGGTCAGAGAGAAAGGAGGTAGGAGAGGAAAAGATGTAGGCTTTAGAGCGGGGACTAGCTACCACAGCAGACAAAGCAGGAAGTTTTTATCACTTTAGTTAGTCAGTTTTGTTTTATTAAGGGTTTTTGGTCAAGAAAGAGAAGACATGTAAGGCATCCTCTGGGGAGAAACAAAACACTGAGCCCCCCTTGCTGTGGGTAGCCGCACCCACTTATCCCTTGCTGAAGGATTTGATCCCCCAAGCATTTTGTTCCTTTAATCATATCTCTGTGGGATTAAAGAATGGACACGGGGGCTTATGTGTGTGAGCACTAGGAAGGCTGTCTCCCCCACCTCCCCCTCAACTGGGGTAAAGTTGGAGAGAAAGTGGGAAAAGTTATTGTTTCTGTAAAATGGAGACTGTACGTGCAAAGAGAATTTTTCTACCTGGCTCGCTGTGTCAGTGGTTAAAATGCATACATTAAGGTGTTCTGGGTGTTTTGTTTTGTTTGTTTCTGACAGCAGACCCTAAATTTTGAAGGCCAGACTTAAGTATGTTTTGCTCCCATAATCTTTTAAACATGTTTTCAAGGTATTTTGGTACTTTGTTCCACCAAAATGCTCAGAGTAGCTTTCAGTGGGAAAGATTAATTATCTGCTTCAGGGCAAAGTCAGCAGAGGTATTGACTGAAATCACATATGCTTATCATAGGTTAGATCTTAGGGTTGATGTAGAATGGAAAACCTAGGAGGGAAATTTATGTTCTTCATATTAAATATATCATAATGTTTCATTGGAATCTAAGTTTGCAGTTCACAAGAGACTTCCTTACTTCTTCAGAATTTATTAGCACAACAGGCATATGGAAAACTGTAAAACGATTCAATTTCAAAACAAATTATGATAAACAGAAGAAATAGGGATGAATTGTACTAAATACAATGTTTTCATACACATTTTAAATTAAACTTTAATAGCCATATGCTATAAAACAATACATGCATTTATGTTGCTTTGTAATTTTTTTTGTGAATATTTTTCAATAATGGTTCTTACAGATCTTTACTTTGGAACCTAAAAACACCTCGTTTGTGACCCGTTACTGAAAAGAGCTATCGTAACACAGATGAAAGGTTATCTTTTCACGTAGGTGTTTGCATCATAAACCGAAAGGAGAAAAAAAGAGATTTTTAATATCATAAGAATTGAACTTGGGAGATTTGAAGTCTGACTGTCTTTCCAACCACACATAGTCAACTGGGTAACTATGAAGCCGGCATTTCGTTCACCGGGTTCTCTGTTTTCAAAAAGCAGCCAAAGGGAGCGCGTTTGTCTTGTTAGTCGCATTCCAATGAGGAAGGAAATCTGGTTTTTCAAGGGTAGAATTAGGGTGCAGACTCCAGAGCTTGGGCAGTAACTGCCCGCCTTTGTGCCTGACTTCCCATCACTAAATGGGCTTTGATAATACGGCTTGGGGGTCCCTGGTTCTGTACCTGCTGATTCTGAAGATGCTTTGTGTTCCACGTGTGCCTTGCCAGAGTGAAGCCTACGCGGCAACCTCCTTGTTCCTAGAGCTCTCTGAGAGCCTTAGATAAAAGGCACAGTATATATACAAAGTATTATTATTATTGATGGGTTTGTGTAACTCCCATTAACGCTGATGGGAGTTACACATGTGAATTGGCAGGAGAATAGACCCCTCAGTGTTTAGAGCACATGAAATTTACATTTTTTCCAGTGCTGTAATTGAGATGTTGACAAATTGGAGAATATTGATGAGCCTTTGTTTTAAGTATTTCGTGCCAAGTTTGTTTTATTTTTCCTGGTTTGAACAATGGTATGGGTTCAGCAGCAGTGAATAAAGAGGGTAGAGTAAAGATAACTTTGTATTTCAATATTTTGATGTGCCAATATGAAATAAATTGTCTTAGGCAAATGGAATATGCTGTTTTAATCATTAGCTATGCATGAAAGAAAAATTGATGTTGACATCTTTGCTGTAAAATCGTTGTAATGGGGCCTTCCTTACAATTCATTTTTGTAAAATTCATTTTGTACATTTTGCAGCAATTGAACAATCCCTGCACTGTGAATAGGCAGGATTCCCAGAAATACCGAGACAGTTGGCCCAGTAACTGCTGAGCTCACAGTGCACACCACACACACGTTAACCATACTGTTGCCAGACCCAGATTAACCTAAATACATGAACATGCTAGCATCTATGTCTGTAATCGTTCAAGACCCTGGCCTGTACAAGCCAGCAGGGTTCCCCTTGACTCTGCCACCAGACCCATCCATTGATGTCACCATCTATCATTCAGGCAACGAGGCTAGAATCCCTCAGCTAGATATTTATTTAGTTATTCTACAGTTATTTAGCAACCGTAGTGTTGAAATCTACAAAAGTCCCCTTAGAAATGAATGGAAGCCCTTACAGTCAAGCATGCGTAAGATATCATGATACTTTTGAGTTTACACCGTGTTGCAGTTAGGAAATAACATTTAAATAGTCCAGTTATATGTTTAAAGGAGGAAGGGGGAAACCCACTTACTGAGGGTCCTGAATATTCTCTGCTGGGATTTCTCATTCAGTCTAGGAAAACTCTGTCAATGGAATGTTTTCCTAGTGGCGGCAATCTCTTTAAAATAACCCTAAATACAATATGACAGACGCCATCTGCCATCATCTTTTGCTAGTTGCTTTTAACTTTTATTTTTCCTAGAGTTAAGTTCACCCCAAACTGGTCACCAACTTATGATAAATACAATAGCATCTCTTTCCTCCTGATTGTTACCATCATTTTTTTTTTCACTCCAACTATAATTGACAGTTGGACATGGCCAGAGAAGAAGCTGTTCTATATAAAATATTCATGTGGCATTTCCTTTCTCCCCCCCCCAAAAAAAATTAAATAAAAATGAAAGCCATCCTTCAGTCATCAGCAAACCCTTAGGTATGTTCTGCAGAAGTTCTTAGGATGTTTTAGATAGTCGCCATGAGAAATAAAATTAAAGTCTTCTAATAAATACATGCCCTAGGATCATGTAACAGTTGCCCATAAATGCTTAAAAGCTTGCTATAGTTGCTGTTAATTTTGAGTAATTTCATTCCTATATATATCAACTTACTTGAAAAATCCAGAGTTGGGATTTCCAGATTTTTTTTTAACTTAGTCATGTAAAGGGATGTCTCCTGATGCCAGTTAGAGTTTAATTTAGAGTAGTAATTAAACTTGAATACTGCCTCATAAACAAAAGATAAACAATAAACCAGCCACGTTCCCTGCTGTTTCATAGCTTTCTTTCCCAGATGTTTTAGC